GTTTGAACGTTTGCAGTAGAGACAAAAAACCTTATTTGTTAATTGTGAGGCAACACAAACACACACTCTTTCACTATCTTTGTGAGGACTTGCACTGACTTCCATTCATTTCTACAGCCTAACCCAGACCCCTTACTCTAATTTCCTAATATCCCAAAAAATGTCCACATAAATACAGCACTCAACCAAGCTCTGCAAGCACAAAATAATATAAAAACTTTGGATTTGGCTCTTGAAAAAAATGAAATACTTTGCAGTTCATACCACTTAGCTTAAAATACAAAACAAATACATCAAGGTTAAAAGAATGTAGCCTWTTTTTCRTCCYGTCATACTGCATCTCCATTTTRCACARTGAAGCCTTTRTAARGAGAACAATTCTTGATCTTTCTTCCAACATGAAGAGAGATTCTAAAAAGCTTGTTTACGTCAGTCACRACCATGAAAAAGATTTGTCCTCTCTGCTGTGGGAGGATTTAGAGTBGTAAACAAACATGGACTGACTTGTCTGTTCAAACACATCTAATGATTTATGATAAGGAAGTTTATTCTCTAAACTTGGTCCAWTTTAACATCAACTTCTGTCCTGTGTGTGTGACAAGATTTGTGGGACTACTTCACCAGCCTGAAGCAAAACAAACATTTTGTTTAGTTTGAATTTAAGTGTAAAATACATCAAACTGTCCACATTTGTTTTTCATATTCTAACACGCTGACCCAATGTTTTGTCCAACTAGATTTTGATTTGTAAGTGAAATAAAGGAGTTTGATTAAATTTTCTCACACACATTTCCCATTGTGACTAAAGCTCAACAACAACAAAAAACCTTTTGATGCTTCTCAGTTGGCGTGGGGTTTCACAGAATCTTCAGACTGATCCCTCGTGGCGCCGTTGATCCGTGTCGTCTTGTTGCAGAAGTTCCAGTCCACGGGGTTTAGCAGCTGCATGGTCTTCTTGTGCGTCCAGATGGGGTTGATGAAGAGCGTGAGCAGAGCGAGTCCAGAGAAGAAAAGGAGGCGTAGGGGCAGAGCTATGTGGGYGTTGACCTCCTCCCAGTGGGTCAGCGTGACCCACCACATGTAATAGGTGAGCACCATGCGACAGTGGAACATGTGGATCATCACCCACTGGTTGGCTCTCCAGAACAGAGTGTGAGCCCAGCCAGACTTGAATGGAAACAAACAATCATGATGTGAATAAAAATCTCATGCTTTGCAAATAATCAACAAGTCAAGGTTGTGATTAAAGAGGAACAGAGAAATTTTAAGCAGCATCACAGTTTGTTTTTCTTGAACTTCCTCTTTCCAAGAACACTAAATTTAACCTTTTAGTAATCCACAAGACTCCTACCTTTAGTAGCATCCAGGATATGCAGGTGAAAGGTGTACTCATCTCCAGAAGGAGGGTAACCATGGGCAGGTAGTGGCCCTGAGAATCCCACACCACTGCTCCTGCAAACCCTGACAGGGCGAAGAAATGGTGCATGGCCAGCGGGAGGTCAAACGACCAAAACACCACATTGGATGCATGAAGTGCTACATTCTCAAAGACAAAGAAACCTGTGGCTGTGAGGACGTGAAACCACGACCAGTCTTCTTGGCCCCTGATTCTCTCTTTGAACAACGCAGAGTCCTCGGTCAGAGCCCGAAGTCCTGCTACTGTACTCTGGGTGCCAAACGCCGCCCGAGTGGCTGCCAGGTTCCAGAAAACCTTCTCCTTGGCTGGGAGGGAGTTGTAGGTGCAGGACAGAGCCACAGACAGGAGGTGGGAGAGGAGGAATACTGCTGCATAGAAGCCAAATCCTAAACAGATGATCTGGAGCCGATAGCTGCATGAAAAGTACTCCGGGCTGGGCTGGGGGAGAGGGGTGGTCTGCTGCTCGAGATCCATCATGGTGTTTATGGGTRGAAAGTAAACCTTATCTGGGAATTTTCACCTGAAGGTGGAAGCTTCAAATGGTACCTGCATGGTGGCTCACCTGGAAAACACAGACGTGAATGAACAACCATATAATCACCGTGCTAATTTTAGACAATTTAAATAAGCAGCGTGATCAGTTCACGTTTTCCATTAACTCAGTTAGTAAGACTAGGAAGGGCTTTTTTAAACTAATAAAACCTGACAGATAAGACTTTACAACTTATATAGCTTTAGTAATAGCATACGCATTCCTGAAATTACAGACATTTAACAACTACTTCTGTCGCTAAACCTAGGTAACTTATACCGTATCGAGTCAAACTGTGACTAGAACAAGCAAACACAGTTTTAAAACTATATTTTCTTTAAATAATTACCATAACTTACGATTTTAACATCTTCGGAATTTGAACAGAACAGGTTTTCGAGCTGGGACAGGAAATCTACCGACCCAGCATCATACGATTCCAATTTAGTCACGTGAGATCCAAACAGGAAGTCACGCCTCCGCGCAACAGTTCTGATATTCCATTGGCCAGTGCGGTTCAGAGGCCGTGAATCCTATTGGCTTTTGGCTCTGTCGGTAATGGTAGAGTGTCTGTCAAAGTGTTATTATACAGATATAAGAAATGTACATGCTCACACTGTGTCTGCGGTGCTGTTTTTGTCCAGCAGGGGGCAGTATTGCTACACACACGCTACGCTCACAGAGTTTATGCCTAAAACTTCGCTCAGGGAGCTAATAAATTTAGCCACCGACTTAATCTTCTTTAAAAAATGGGGGAAAAGTATTTCATATAAAGTAAATTCACTTTATGTGGAGAAATTGAACATTAAATATATAAAAAATTTCTCAAAACATTTGATAATTGAAAGAGACTTCACTCATTTAAAAATATATTGCATACAATAATAAATTCAACTACAACAAAAGGCAGCAGAAAGAAAAATAACGTACACCCCCCATTGATTCAAACATTAACAGTAGTCAAGTAACAAAAAACAAAAACATTTGTGACTTTACAAAAAGTAAATATGAACATGTTGAAGTGTTTTTTTTTGTTTTAAATCCCAAGAGGAAACAAAATACAATAATATATAATTGGGAAAATTACAAAGGCAAATAGGTAAAATAAGGTGCATGTGTGTATGTGCGCGCACACAACTTCCACAGTATCAGGAAGTACTGAAGACTGCAGTTAAAATAGAAAGTCCACAATACAAATTGGCAAACACACATTAGCTTTAATGGTTTTCAAATAAACAACTTCACTGATGTAATCAAATAAACCTCGCAGCTGTTTTCTGTAGTGTTCAGAGAAAATAGGGCTGATGAATAAATAATCCTATACTGCCATCTAGAGGACGATGTT